TGAAATAACTTTGAGTAGGATTACTCTTAATTATTTTAAGTTCTAGTGTTTAGAAGAATTAAGAGGAGAATATTAAAATAATTTTTTTTTTAGAAAAATAAACACACAATTATTCTGCAGTAAATTACTTTTACGCTATAACAATTTTTACTTTCCTGGCTTGTTATATATAACAGAGAGAAAGTATGGCAATGGTTCAAAAAAATGACCCCCAAAATTTTTATATTTTTGGACTCAGAGTGCCTTAAAACGTCGACAAATTCGGGGGTTTTCTCTATGTATAAATGTTTGAAGCTTAATAACTCCTGTGCCTTTTGTCCAAAATTTCTGAAATTTTGCAGGGAGGTTTGTGTATTAGTGGCATTTATGCATTTAAATTTTGGTGGTTAAAGGTCAAGAGGATGGGGAGATAAATTGGATCATGTACTGTACCATATATCAAGTTGGTCATACTTAATAAAGATTTTATTTGCTATTCTCACATTTACATTTCTTTTTTTTTATAAAATTCATTTCTACTATTAAATCTAAGCTTTTGGCAATTTATAATAAATTAATAATATGAAAAGTTTTTAAAAATAAAATCTCATAACAGATGGCGCCAAACAATATTAACTTTTTTTTTGCCGGGAAAGTTACTCAACTCGTTACTGGAATTTTTCTTTTTCGAAATTATTTTATAAAATAATATTTTAAAATATAAATTAGTTTTCAATTTTCTTAAAATTACTTTTAAAATGACTTATTTCTAAATGATTAATATTAATAATTTCGACTTGAATAATTTCCGAAATTGGAGGATGTTTGATATTAATTTCTATTTTAGCTACTTTAATGGAGGATAAAATCATAAAATAATTCATTTTAAACATTTCATTTACTTGAAAATATTCCTTCGTATATTTAAATACGAATTATATACTTTATATATCATTAGTGAGTTATAAAATATAATTATTTATAATTAAAAGTTTAATTTTGATAAGATATTTTAATAGAAATAATTATTTGATTTGAATATTTTTGTCATTAATTAATGAGATTGCTATAAATGAATGATTTAAAATAGCAAAATTATTCTTGGAAAACGTGTACAAATATCTTTTCAATGACTCTAATGCTTCAAATATTCTAGATATATATTTTTAATATATAAAAAAAACCTATTTTGTAAAGGTTAAACACTGAAAAAAAATCTTATATTTAGCTTAGAATTAAAGTTTTTTACTGGGATTATTAAAAAAAAATTAGTTTTTTATTTTAATACTTAAATAATATTTTAAGAAGTTTCTAAGTAAATAAAGTATTTAATTATCTTTATAAATTTCAATAAATTTAAATTACTTTCTGTATAAAGATTATAGTCCAACCGAAATATTTTATAGTTTTTTTATCATGTAATATATATATATTTTTTGATATAAAACTATAAATTAATTACCGTAGAAACTATCAAATATTTGATATATAACCTATAAATAATAATTCAGTAGAATTTTAAATTATATTATAGAATATTTCGAAGTTTATTTAATTATAACTAGTAGAATATATTGAATAGAATCCAATAGAGTATTGGAAACTTTATTTTAAACAAAGTAAAAAGTAAACAAGAAAGAAATAGAAAATAAAATGAAAAATTCGAATTTTTTACTAGTAAAATGGATTAAAAATATATATTTATATAATAAAAATATTTTTTTTCTAACTTATTTTCTAACTGCAATGCTTATTTATCAATAGTAAGGGAGCTAAATAAAGCTAAAATTAAAGCTGTGATTACTTTTAAATTTTCATATTATCAATTTAACAAAAAGTGTATACAAATAAATATTTAACTTTTAATAATTTTATAGTAATAATAATAATAATAATAACTCTCCTGTACAGGTGTGATACCACACACACTACACAAAAGCCTGGGAACATTACAATTGAATAGAAATACATACATAACACTACAGAAGGCCACTATATTGAATACATGCCATATTGTTAGGAAATTCCTGTATACAGACACAGACACACTTATTTAATTTTAGTTCTTGGTTGCTATGCCTTGACTCTGGTCCGGCATAGTGCACAGCCACCGATGTGTACTGAGTATAACCCACTAAACCCAATATAATGATAATAATAATAATCTTTAATTTCTTGTAAATTAATAAATAAAAAATTAAGAAAATTTTAACATTGAATTATAGCCAAGTTTTCAACTTAGAATAATTAATTTTAGTTCAACACGTATCATTTACTGATTGATAGGAAGGTGGAAGTTTCATTTTGAAATTTATTCATATTTTATCATGTGTTTATTATAAAAAATATTAAATTATTGTTTTCGAACTTGGTTATTTTTATTTCTTTTTTTAAAAATATTAACTTTTATATATAATTTATAAATAATTTCAAGTTCTTTTTTTCTCTGATTAATTTTAGCTCAAATTTAATAGCTTATAACCCTTCTGGCTCCTTATTTCTTAATAACTATTTTAATTATATTCTCTGACGAACATTATAGATTTTTTAATGAGATAATTTTATATTTTTTTTCCATCCGAATGAAATGTTGGGTAAGTTACTATCTGATAAAATTATCCTATAAAATATCAAATATTATCAGACTTGGAATAGGGAGACAACAGGACAATTTGACTCGAAAAGGGTATATATATAGTGCCAAAAAATACTTAGTATTTTATGTAAAAAATAAGTTATAATTATAACGTTTTTTAATAAGTAGACAAAAATCTGTTTTTTTTTATTTGTTTCATTGAATTTTATTCGTATATTTTTATTACTTCGGTAGAGGGATGGGCTTCAGTGGGGCGTTGTAGCTTCATGGGACCTAGGAGAATTTAAATTTGGGGTCCCAGTACAGTGTTGATTATATATGCTTTTCTTCGGGGAATTTTTTGGGGAAAATATTTTCTTATAAAAGATTAGTTTGGTCATTTTCCTTTTTTTGCCCATAGGATAACGCGCAAATATGATTTGCTCAAACCTACCTTATCTCTCTCAGGCCCTAGATGTTATTATAGTTGAGTCACGAAAACTAAACGAATTAATTGATTAAATTTAGAAAATAACACTGTATATAATATAATATTCTAAAGGTGAAAATACACGCAACTTGCTGAATATAAATGATCAAATTCTATTCCGAATAAAGCATTTTTATCATCATTTTTAATAAAATAAGATACTTTACAAAAATTTCTAACTGAAATACTCTTTAAAATTCTTCTAGCATTACGTTATAATATTTACATAACAGTAAATTGGAGCGTGGAAAAGTATAGACGTATCCATTTACTGTATAATCTCATTACGATTCTCATCATTTTGAGCTGTGTCGAAAATTATGTTCTGAAAATTTTAATGTAGTTATTCAATTAAAACTTATAATAATGCAATAAAGTTAATTGATATAAAATCCTATTAACAGCGATACAATACGAACACTCGTATTGTGATTAGGGAACGAGATCAATGGTTGGTTTGCTTTAAAATTTAAATCGGAACTCTACAGATTGAAATAACTTTGAGTAGGATTATAGATTATTATCTGCAAGATTAGTGTTTACTATTTATAGATTTGTCTGTCTATTATTTAATATATTTATGAAGAAAATTGATGGTGAAATATAAGAAGAGAAAAGAAGAAGAACGTAACGAAAGAGAAGAATTGCGAGTCATGAATGATATACTAAATAGGGAAGAATGT